AATTTATTTTACTACTCATATTCCATAATATTCCTAGTTTATGAGATATGCTAATCTGTATCTAATGAGCATATCGTGGACGGATGATATCGTTTATTATTGATTACATAGTCTGTTAATCGAAACTGCATCAGCTACAAGATAATTGCACCACCTGCATAACATGATTTATATATTATCTATATAATCCGAAGCGAATATAAGTTTAATTTAGAATAAATCTTGTTTTGCTCGCGTCTGTATTTTCTCGCTAAATTAAAGTTTATAAATAGAGGGGAAACATTTTTATTTTATATATTTATGAGAATATAATTTTTATATCATGTGTAGAAAAAAATTTACAATTGTTATAATTAATAGTTTAATGAAACGCGACATTTTTATACATACAAATAACTTAGGACATTAAAAAAGATGATTGTTTTTTACCTTGGATAACTTAGACAAAATAAAACTTCGTGAAACAATATTGAGATGAAAGTAATTATCCATCGGCTATCCGTAATAATAGCCATTTAATAGCCGTCAGCCCCTGAATAATCAAACAGAAAGCACAACATCCATGAATGAATACTATGGCAACAGTAGGATCCCAGAGGATCTGGCGAGAGGAAAACGGAGCACCACAAAAGCCGTCCGCGTGGAGTACGTCTTTGTTTACTCCAAACTATCCTCCATTCGTTTCGGTCTTTTCTCCGATCTTTCTCGCTCACTTTCGGTTCCATCTTGCGGTATCTTCGCTCTTCCTTGGCTCTCCGAGTATCGCCAATTCTTATCCCCTCGAATCGTCTTGGCAAGTCCTGGCAAGATTCCTTTTATCCCGGCGATATCACGCTCGTCCCTCTTCTTCCCCCATTCCCGTTTAAACAAACCCCTCCTATCGTAATCGAGACCGGATCGATGGATTAAGAATCCAATTGCGATTCTCTTTTTCTTACCACCTTTGTCTAACATCCACGGTTCTTATGTCTCATTCTACGCATCGTAAAATCTCCTCAAATCTAACCCTCGACAGAGCCGCCGGCTGGTTATCCATGTCCGACAAGAATCGCGCGCAAGAGATGTACTTTTTTTCCGAAATACATTTCCACCATTGCGGCACCGACGCTCACGACGGAATACCTATAGTCGTGGGAGGCGAAAGCAGCAGCAGCAGTAGCAGCGGCAATAAAGTTTGCTTTATTTTTACTATCCCTCCGGCCAAGTACCGCCCCGTATTTCCTCGGGATATTGACATATCGGGGGTGCCAGGGCTTCTCCTCTTAACGCCCTTTTTACACTGGCATGGAATTTATGTCTTCTTCCTCCTCTTTCCCCATCTCGCTCTCCTCGTCCTGCTCTTTCTCTCTTCTCTTCCTTGGCTCTCCGAGTATCGCCAATTCTTATCCCCTCGAATCGTCTTGGCAAGTCCTGGCAAGATTCCTTTTATCCCGGCGATATCACGCTCGTCCCTCTTCTTCCCCCATTCCCGTTTAAACAAACCCCTCCTATCGTAATCGAGACCGGATCGATGGATTAAGAATCCAATTGCGATTCTCTTTTTCTTACCACCTTTGTCTAACATCCACGGTTCTTATGTCTCATTCTACGCATCGTAAAATCTCCTCAAATCTAACCCTCGACAGGGCCGCCGGCTGGTTATCCATGTCCGACAAGAATCGCGCGCGAGAGATGTACTTTTTTTCCGAAATACATTTCCACCATTGCGGCACCGACGCTCACGACGGAATACCTATAGTCGTGGGAGGCGAAAGCAGCAGCAGCAGTAGCAGCGGCAATAAAGTTTGCTTTATTTTTACTATCCCTCCGGCCAAGTACCGCCCCGTATTTCCTCGGGATATTGACATATCGGGGGTGCCAGGGCTTCTCCTCTTAACGCCCTTTTTACACTGGCATGGAATTTATGTCTTCTTCCTCCTCTTTCCCCATCTCGCTCTCCTCGTCCTGCTCTTTCTCTCTTTCCCAGCACTCTCCTCATCACCGTTCTACGTCTCTTCTGCCTCTCCATCTCGCCATCGTTCTCTTCTATCTTCCTCATTCTTCTTCTTGGTCGTTATTTGGCGGCGCTCCCTTCTCACCATCCACGCACCACCTAATTCTCGTTCTCCCTCTGTCTCTGATTCTGAGACAATCAATCACGCATGCATATCTCCGCGTTCGTAAAATCAACCGGAAATCTCTATTAGAGAGCAAGTTGTCGTGATCTTTTTTTCTTGGCGTCCTCGATCGATTCTACCATAGAATGACGTAGACACGGTCGTTATTGACAACGATTCTCCTTCGTCGGGCGTTTCCTTGACGGCCGGAGAATGCCATTTGATTGTGAAATCATGGAATCCCGAGAAACGAATAGTACCGAATTTTCTACGCAGTAGTCTCAAATCGTGGAGAGAAGTAGAAATATGTAATCTCGGTCGTGACATAAGAAGTCCATGACGCATATCCGCTTGTCTACTTGAAAATCGGATTATCGCCCTAACTGGTATTTCACTTTGCTTTGATACAGAATTTAGACATGTGTCTTTAATATTTTATTTTATTTCGCATCACTACTAAAAATGCAAGGCAAAATTTGATTAGACACAACACTCGATGACGTCTATTCAATCTTGAAGAAACGTGTTAAAGATTTTTAGCAAATTCCATAGGATCAGCTAATACGACATGACGTTCATTCAGTTTTTCCACAATCGGACGAGAAGTTTTCTTTCCTCTCTCTCTCTCTCCCTCTCTGTAAAACGCCGTAGTTCGATAAGAGAAGAAATGGGAAGTTGGTGGAAAGGTTTTACACTGTATTAATAACCGTATTTTTGCCGGTTCATCGGGCACATTTGAAAAATTATTGGACGAGAAACGCGGCGGCGATAAAAACGCGAAGGTGCGGTGGATGCAATCCGGTCAGAGAGAAAAACAATGAGCAATCGCTTGTCGAAGGGGTTGTATGTCGCTTCCCTTCCTCTTCTCCTCTCTCTTTGTCTCTCGTTTTTCGTTGCGTTTCTATTTATTGGTACGGAACATACGGTTGCGTAGGAGCGCACACAGGGAAAAAAGGGCTATGCCGGGGATAGACGGGATATAGAAGAGGAGAAGCGTAAAAGAGCCACGGACACAACGGCGAAAAACGCAATATCGTGCCGGGAATGTCAAGCCAAAAGCAGATCGAGTGGACGTTCAAAATCGTCCGACAAAGCTCGCGAACCATTTAGCTAGAATGGAGAGTCTTCCAATGTGTAGCTTCAATTGTTGAAAAGCACGCGGCCATGCCTCGTTACGAGCTTTCGGCGCAAGCCGGAGAATATCGCAGCTGCTGGATCGTAGTCGATTATAGGCAAACTTTATTTGACATCGGTGGATATCGCGTAGTGATCGCGTCGGCGGGTTAAACGATTCGTCGATGCGATATATTTGGCCATTCGGATAAGCTCCTATTTACGTATCGATATATGTAATGTCAGCATGGCATGCACGATATTTCTATGGTCAATAAAGAGCCCACGTGCGGGTTTATAATTCTGATACAATAGGAATATCGGAGGCACATCATTAACGCAATATATCGTATATTACCTTTATATAACGATATTTATAATGTTAATTAAAATGTGAATTGGATATAAGAATACTATAAATATATATAATGTTGTTAATAATCTAAAAATTATGAAACATAATATTTCAATTTGTATGCACAATAATGTTAATGGACAATTTACTATACGTATCACCGATAATTAAAATTCCTGCGCACGGAACAAAAGATTGAGATTAATAATTAATAAAATTTTGATAGTATTATAAAAATCCCGAATCACAAAAATTATCAGAAAAATTTAGCGTCACAATGACATACGGTTGCGTAGGAGCGCACACAGGGAAAAAAGGGCTATGCCGGGGATAGACGGGATATAGAAGAGGAGAAGCGTAAAAGAGCCACGGACACAACGGCGAAAAACGCAATATCGTGCCGGGAATGTCAAGCCAAAAGCAGATCGAGTGGACGTTCAAAATCGTCCGACAAAGCTCGCGAACCATTTAGCTAGAATGGAGAGTCTTCCAATGTGTAGCTTCAATTGTTGAAAAGCACGCGGCCATGCCTCGTTACGAGCTTTCGGCGCAAGCCGGAGAATATCGCAGCTGCTGGATCGTAGTCGATTATAGGCAAACTTTATTTGACATCGGTGGATATCGCGTAGTGATCGCGTCGGCGGGTTAAACGATTCGTCGATGCGATATATTTGGCCATTCGGATAAGCTCCTATTTACGTATCGATATATGTAATGTCAGCATGGCATGCACGATATTTCTATGGTCAATAAAGAGCCCACGTGCGGGTTTATAATTCTGATACAATAGGAATATCGGAGGCACATCATTAACGCAATATATCGTATATTACCTTTATATAACGATATTTATAATGTTAATTAAAATGTGAATTGGATATAAGAATACTATAAATATATATAATGTTGTTAATAATCTAAAAATTATGAAACATAATATTTCAATTTGTATGCACAATAATGTTAATGGACAATTTACTATACGTATCACCGATAATTAAAATTCCTGCGCACGGAACAAAAGATTGAGATTAATAATTAATAAAATTTTGATAGTATTATAAAAATCCCGAATCACAAAAATTATCAGAAAAATTTAGCGTCACAATGGCTTTAACGTCATATATATATTAACGTCACATCTGTTTTGTAAAAATTGGAACTTAATCCTAAAAACTTTTTTTAAAATTAAATATCATATATTTGTATGAAAAACTTGTATATAATTTTTTAAAACGTATGTTAGGGTTTTTTTTTTTCTTTTGGTGAATTTTTTGACGCACGATATTGCTATCTGACAGTATCTTTTATATGTTTAATATAACTTTATGAATCGATATGCGCGCTTATATTTAGCGCAAAATGTCCGATATGAATATGGATCGGAATGTCTTGATGAGTCTGATTGTTTTATGAAATGTTGTATTCTGTTTCAGGTCAAGTTGATCTCTGGACACAGAGCACCACCGGCTGCGCCTGTAGCTTCAATTCGTCCAGCAACGATTGCGCTTGTTGTGTACCGTCAGGCGGATGCAGCTGCGGTGCAGCTTCGCCGGATAGATGCGCTCAATGTGGCCTGGAGCAGCATTGCGCGAATAGTAAGTATCACTAAGTGACCTATGACAATACATATATTCGTAGTTTCTAATTATAATATAATTAATTGAATATATATACATCGCGTATTTTATTTTAAATGAAGATTTTCTTGTGCATATATTATTATACTTGATTCATACATTAATTAAAGCAAACGACGTAGTTACTATGTTTTGACGAGAGAAGTATAAACTCTGAAATTCTCGTTCCCCCTTGTTCGCCACTTTCTTCGCTCAACTATTCTCAATCGATTAACTAACGTGTATTTGCTCTTTTGGTCCTGCGATAAATATAATTACATCGTATCAAAAAGACATGGGCAATCTCTTTGAGTTTGTTCCGGTGCTAGAAACAAGATTCGAGCCATTAAGTCACTTGCCTCGCGCCGCTTCTCATTTGCAGCCGTCCGTGTCGCGCGAACAAGTGGAAATTAAAGCGTGCGCGCGCGACGAGCGTAGTCCCTTTGGAAACAGTTCGCGGGATGAAGCGGAGAAAATGGGGAGGAGGTGTAATTCAAAGAGCGAATAAAGAAAAGAAGGAGAACGAGCGTTTATAAGAGGATGAATCGCGATCCACTCAAAAGACACACCGAGATTTCCGAGAGGAAGAGGAGACATGGTATCAATGGAATGTTGCTCGTTTTGCACGAGGGAATAAATCGTATCGGGGAGAAATTACTCTTGTGTATGCCGAGCTTTCTTTCTTCTAACTAATCACTCTTGACGAAGTTCTTATGCTCCATTCATCTAACCTTTCTTTGCGCTAATTACTGGGAACGATATTGCCTTCGTGTTCCATCCATCAAATCCTTCTCTCCTCGGATTTCTTGTAGCATCGTAGGAAATATATATGAGACCGTATAGATGGACCTTTTCTCTCTATATACACGGCTATAGAAGAGTTTATAAATTACTTTCTCGTGCAAGTTTATGGGATTATTTAAAATGCAAATGAAAAAATTTGTAGTAAAAGTATATAAAAATTTATATCTCTGGTATCTTAGCAACAATATGCATAACTATAATTTTTGAATTCTATATAACAAAAATTGGATTTTATTCTCTCTCCAAATAAACAAAATAAAAAAAGCTTTTATAAAATTGCAATTCTTATTGAAGTTTTTTTTTAATGCTTCTTCAATGTGAAGTTTTTTAAATTTGCTTTATATAAGAGAATTATAAAATTGATATACTCATGATATAAAGTCTGTGATATAAAAAGGAAATAATTCACAAGAAATATAATATCACGGCTTACAAGACAATATTTGTACCACAATCACGAAACATCCTGCGCAACATCCCACTGGGAGGGAAGCAATTAAGAATCAAATTACACACTATGGCAGATTGCCTCATAATATTACGCCGAGTTGTCGCGACTCGTCGTCGCCCGAATAACACGGCTGCATAGAGCGCGCCAATAAAAGTATACGAGCAAGAAAAATCGTTATTAGCCGCACTTCATTTTTCTCTTCTTTCTATTTTTCTCACGTGGTTTCGCGTGGAGATTATAGCGCGAAAGTTCGATATTGCGAAATGAAAGTGTTGAACTTGAATAGAGAAACGCAATTAAATTGCAATTACGTATGTATTAAGCAGAATATTCATTATTATTAAGAACCTAAAAAAAACAAAAGAGAATGGAAAATATTTGCAGAATATTTTGCGATACAATTCACGTAGAATACGAGCGATTGAATTTGCTGTCGTATCGCTGTCGTTGAACTTTTCTCAGTATTTTTACACCAACACGATCGTCTTGTTCCGTTTCAGTGTGCAATATAACGTTGGACAGCAGGCAGCTGTTCAGCAAATCGGATCGTGGCTTCGGGCAAATAAAGTCGCCGTATCTTCAAGGGCCCTCGAGGTGTACATACAGATTCGTGCCGGATACTGGGCAGCGGGTCGAGCTGCAGATATATCGACTGGTGTCCATCGGCCGACATAACGGCACTGCGTAAGTAGCTTTTCGGTGACGCCTTTCTTTCGATTCGCTCGTATCGCTTGATGGCATATACTTTTGCGTTCTTCCATGCCCCTTTATTACCGCGGCCGTAAACTTTATGGAAAAGTATCCTCGACACTTATATAGTGCGTCTGTGTCTCTAGTTATAACCCTTCATACACGTAAACTTACATTGTCTTACAGTCGAGTCGGAGTAATTTTAAATATGTAATAACATGTGGAAACACTAAGCAGATGACTTAAGACCTCCTTTTTATTATTTAGAAAGCACTCTTGGATAGTATTGCGTTTTTTTACAGAAATTACAGATATATATTAAAGAGGCAAAGATGATATATACGAAGATATATCAAAGAGACAAATGTTTTTCTCGAAATTTTACGCGATTATCTTTGTCAAAATGAAATATTTTAAGTTCCCCCTTTTCTCACACACACATACAAGTAGCTAAAGAACAAACAAGCGGGGACAGATATGATTGGAAATCGCTCTCGTCGATGGTCGTTTCAATTTGTCATACTTCCGCTCTTACGGAGCCGATAGTTCGGTTCTCGAATCCCTCTCGACTTTTGGAGAGAGGCGAGGAGTCAGAAATGACGCCGGCAGAGCTACAAGAAAGAATTGGGGTTTGGGAAGAAAAATTACTGTTTTCAGAAACCTCACGACACTTCTCTAACCCCACCACGAGAACGCGAAAGCTCGTCCACCTCCGACCATGTTCATGAGCAAACTTTGTGGCGGGTGGAAAAGGCCTTCGACAAGCCCTGGAAAAGTTCTTACAATTTTTCGACAAGGCTCTTCACCTCAATCCCTCTCTTCGTACTGTCGTGTGCCACGACGATGAAGTCGGTGGGGCTTTACGACACGCCGAGCATCATATGAGCATCTTATTCTAGTGGCTTTTGTTCCCGTTCTCTGAAATACGCAAAGTATACAGCCGCGGAACGGATGTGTGCTTATGACGATGGTATGAACGAGAAATATGCGCCCGTGTGCTCTCGCTATTTGTTATCTTTCTTGAAAGGAACTATATTTCTTTCTTAAATTTTCAGCCACAATCCGCGAAATATAGCCCTATTTAACAATAAAAGTAAGTTAAACTCTATAAATCTGTTGCTCAATTATAATTTCTATGAATTTGCGATATAGTTTGAATCTAATAATTATTTAGCTCTCTCGTAAATTAAAAAATAAAATTTTTATTAGTAATTTAACATTTTATTCGTAATAACATTAATATATTTTTGGACGTAATTTAACGAGACAAATACTTTTAAGCAATTGCAAAAAATGGAAAATTCCTTTGCATCTTTAAAAAATTTGGAACATGTAAGCAGTTAAAATATTATAAACTTATAATTTACACGTGTGAAATGCAAATCTACATTTCTCTTATTATACTTTGAAACAAGATGTTTTTCTCGTAAACGATCTATGCCGTAACATGCTAAGA